GATTGGGAGGGGACCGGGAGGACCATGACAGATTGAAGCGGAGGTGGGTAGCATAGTAGTAGGTCACGATGTCCCCAGGCCTCCTCTAGAACGCAGGGACAGTAGCACACTATGTGCGATTTTATGCCGCTTATTATGCCAAATGAAGTGTAGAAGGGATTTCTGGAGGGAGTGTAGTTTGGACATAGGAACAGGGACGGGTAGAGTCGCAAATAAATACAAAAGTTTGGTTAGTACAGTCATTTTTATGACGTTGATACGTCCCAAGAATGATAAGGGTACGGTATCCCAAAACTTCAAGGAACGGGAAATGGCTATGAATAGGTGGGGGGGGGGAGTTGGCATCATAAATAGAACTGTAAGAAGAAGTAAGATTAGTACCCAAGTATTTTAGGGAATGAGTGCACAAGCGATATGGAAAGGAGTCTTGGAGGGATGAGAGGACAACTGGTGATATGTGGAGTGGGAGTGCTTCAGTCTTGGATGTGTTAACCCTGTAACCTGAGAGAGTCCTGAACTGTCGTAAAAGATTATGTAATGCTGGGAGGGAGATTTGGGGATTCGTGAGAGTAAGGAGAATGTCATCCGCAAATAGGGATAGTTTGTATTCACGGCCATAGGACAATATCCCTTTTATGTTGGGATGAGACCAAATTGTAATGGCCAATGGTTCCAAACAAAGGATAAACAATAGGGGAGAGAGTGGACATCCCCGCCGTGTACCATTCGACATCTGGAAAGGAGGTGAGAGAAAGGAGGCTAGCCTGACCTGTGAGGAAGGGTAAGAGTAAAGAGCCTTTAAAGCTGCCACGAAAAGGCCACGGAAGCCAAACCTCTCCAAGACCATAAACATATAAGGCCAGCTGAGGCGGTCAAAAACTTTTTGGGCATCCAAGCTCAATAAAATGGTAGGTATGGAGGACCGGTTAACCAAGTCAACCAGATCAATGGATCTCCTGGTATTGTCTGCCGCAGCATGTCTGGGAGGGACAAAGCCAACTTGGTCTCTGTGTATGAGCTTGGAGATGAGCCCAGACAACCGATTGGCCAGGATCTTAGTAAAAATCTTGTAATCAGAGTTCAGTAGAGCAATAGGATGGTAATTATCTAAGATAGAATGGTCCTTGTCAGGTTTGGGAATCACAGAGATGTATGCACAGGAAAAATCGGCTTGTGGAATAATACCTCTGAAAAGATTGTGATAAAGAGAAAGAAGATGGGGAGGTAAGGTACCAATGACAGTCTTGTACTAAGAGTAGGGAAGTCCGTCCGGTCCCGGGGCTTTGCGTGAGGGGAGATGTTTGATTGTATCAAACAGTTCTTCAGATGAAATGTCAGTAGGGGATTGAAGAACCTATCAAAAGAAGTTTCTGTGAGAGGGGGGTGGAGGTCTGGGGTCAAACAGTTGTAGAGACTCATAATATGAGCCAAAAAGGGAGACCATCACACGAGGATCGTACATAGGACTCCCATTCGGCTGGACAAGATGGTCCAGCATGGTAGAAGGGGACTGTGCTTCAAGTCTATTGACAAGCATACGGTGGGGTTTGTTAGAGAATTCGTAGAACTTCTGCCTTACCCAAAGGAGAGATTTTGTGGACTTACAAGCATCAAGGGCTTTGATTTTGTCACGTAGAGAGGTCACTTTATACAGCCCAGGAATAGACGGCTTTGCGAGAAGTCTACATTCAGCTAGTGTTAACTGGCGAACTAGGTTAATCCTGGTACTCTCTGAGGATCTCTTCAGGCGAGAACCCATGGAGATACAAAGGCCTTTAAATACCACCTTGTGGGCTTCCCATATGGTCGAGGCAGATGGTACAGAGCCTACATTGTGTTGAAAGTACATATCAAGTCTCTGTAAGAGCTCAACGCGGAGATGTTCCGTGGTTAAAAAGGACTAGTTGAGGCGCCAATGGCCTGTTTTTGGCATAACGTTGGGGAATAACAAGTTTAAGGTCAGGGAGGCGTGGTCAGACCATGTAATATCCTGTAACTAGGATAGGAAGAAGAGGAGCTGAGATGAAGAAGTGATCTAAGCGGGAGTAGCTACGGTGAGGTGTGGAATAGAAGGTGAACTGTTTGTGGGTAGGGTGCCGAATCTGCCAGGCATCAAAGAGGCAATGCTCCCTGATCAATTTGTGAAACGATTTCGAGGAGGAGCATTGCCGCTTCGAAGGAGTGGACTCAAAGAGGACCTTCCTATCCTTGGGCGGTGAAAGGATTAAGTTAAAGTCACCCCCTATAATCATGTGTGGAGTGGAAAAGGAGCCCAATTTGGTGAGTGTTTGTGAAAGGAATTGTAACTGACCTGAGTTTGGAGCATAGAGATTCAGCAAAATAAGGGGGGTGTCACCAAGTAAACATTCTAGGAGAATGAAGCGACCATGGTGATCAACCTTGGAGGAGACGACCCAAAGGGAGCAGTGTGTCCGAATCAATATTGCCACTCCAGCCTTTCCAGATGGGTCAAAGGCCGAATAGGATTGGGAAAAAAACCTTGTGGCAAAATGAAAAGAGCCTGTTGATTTAAAATGAGTCTCCTGGACAAAAATAATATCTGCTCCTGAGGATCGGAATTCCTTCAAAGACATCCACCGTTTCTGAACAGAGTTAAGGCCTTGAACATTGTATGACAGAAGTCGTAAAGCCATCACAAAATGACAATGAGTATGGCACATGTACCAGCAGAAAAGACAAATGAGATACCATTGATGAGAGAAAACAGAGAACTAATAACATTAACAGACAAACCGAAAACATTACAATAAAAAGTTTAGATATCCGTAAGGATATGGACTTGGGAGAACCATCAATACCCAAGTTCTCCAGGTAAATATCTGGATGGAATCGGGGGCAACAGGACAGCCAGAACATGTCAGTCGGCAAATCCTTCCAGTAAAAATATAACATAGGAAGGCACCCAGCACAGGAAAAGAGAAAGAGGGAAAAGGGAGGGGGGGGGGAGAAAGGGGGGAAAAGGAGGAGAGGGGGGGGTAAGGATGCAACCCCGGAGTGCCCACAGAAGAACACCTCAGAGAAGCGTTAAGCAGGCTCATCGCTGGAACGAGTGGGATAAGGATGTTGTGGAGTACGTGAAAGACGCTTCCGGCCCCTACGAGCTGGTGTCCAAATCTTGTTGGGGGTAGCAGAAGGATGAGACGGAGAAAACCAGCTTGAAGGGAAAACCCCAGTGATAAGGGACATGGTGGTGTTGGAGATGAGTGGTGAGTGGCTTCAGCGCCTGCCGTTTAACCAGGGTAATCAGAGAGAGATCACAGAAGAGCTGGAGCCTGTCCCCTTTAATTTCCAGGGACGGGATGTTGCGTACAGAGGCTAACAAGGCTTCCTTGCTCTTAAAAAAAATGGAAGTGGATGATGACATCACGTGGTCTGGTGCCGTCAGCAGGTCTGGGACCTAATGATCGGTGGGCCCTGTTCATGCACCAATCCGCATCTGGGACCAAGGGGGCAGTGTTGCGGTGAAGAAGGACAGGAGGTGTCGGCGAAGTTGAGAATCGGTGATAGATTCAGACATACGGACGTTCTTCTGACGTTCCCTGTTTTCCAAATCTTCTTGTTGGAGCTGAATTTGGGTCATGGTTTCAGATACGCATTATCTTCTTCCAAGACATGGACGTACTGCACCAATTCATCAAATTTATTCTCCAATTGGTCTGCACGCTCCCCAATCTGCGCTATTTCTCCACGAAGATCCAGAGCCCACTTGCCCACTTCAGCGGACATAGTGGCGGTAATATTGTGCAAAAATACCTGCAATTTATCCTCCAGCGCAGAGATCGTGAGAGTAGATGACACACAGGGACTGGCAGGAGTGGATGGAGAAGGGCTTGATAAAGGGCGCTCCACTGCCACCCCCCCCACAGGGGTCAGGGCTCGGATTCCTCCATCTCGATGGTGTTGTGGGAGTGAGGAGGTGGGATGCATCAGAGAAGCAGCTGGTGCAGTACTGCCGGCCGCAACTGGGTGTCAGCCAGAGCTTATCCGCAGGATCACGGATGAAATTGAAGCCGGGGATTGCGGCCTGTGTAGGAACCACTGCAGCGGTGACGGCCGCGGTTTATGTGGCGGCGGGGAAGGAGGCTTCCAATGCCCCATCTTCCCCATTATGAGGCTGGGGTCTGCTGAGCTGGGTGCCCCGCTACTACGACTCACCCAGGGATGCTTATGGAGCAGCGGTGCACTGTGGGTGAGTCTCTAGGGCCGGGATGTGAGCGGAGCTCAGAAGGATGCGGCCATCAGTGATCCCGGCCACGCATGCGCCCCCCCACGCACATGAATTTTAATGGCATCTCAGTCTTGGTATGTAGGGTTAAATATTGAGTTGGCCAACCCTTTGCAGCTGTAGCAGCTTCAACTCTTCTGAGAAGGCTGTCCACAATGTTTAGAGTGTGTCTATGGAAATGTTTGACTGTTCCTCCAGAAGCGCATTTGTGAGGTCAGGCACTGATGTCAGAGGAGAAGGCCTGGCTCACAGTCTCCACTGTAATTCATCCCAAAGGTGTTCTATCGGGTTGAGGTCAGGGACTTAACCCACGCAGGCCAGTCAAGTTTATCCACCCCAAACTCACTCATCCATGTATTTATGGACCTTGCTTTGTGCACTGGTGCGCAGTCATGTTGGAACAGGAAGGGGTCATCCCTAAACAAAGTTTAGAAATGTCTTAGAATGCTGACACCTGAAGAGTTCCCTTCACTTGGAACTAAGGGGCCAAGCCCAACCCCTGAAAAGCAACCCCACACCAAAATCCCCCTCCACCAAATGTTACACTTGGCACAATGCAGTCAGGCAAGTACTGTTCTCCTGGCAATCACCAAACCAAAACACATCCATCAGATTGCCTGACAGAGAAGCATGATTTGTCACTCCAGAGAACACATCTCCACTGCTCTAGAGTCCAGTGGCTGTGTGCTTTACACTACTGCATCCAACGTTTTGCATTGTACTTGGTGATGTAAGGCTTGGATGCAGCTGCTCGGCCATGGAAACCCATTACATAAAGCTCTCTATGCATTGTTGTTGTGCTAATCTGAAAGCCACATGAAGATTGTAGGCTTTTAGTTATGGACTCTGCAGACAGTGGGCGACTTCTGAGCACTGTTTGCTTCAGCATGCTTGGACCCCACTCTGTCATTTTATGTGGCCACCACTTTGTGGCTGAGTTGCTGTTGTTCCCAGTTGCTTCCACTTTTTTATAACACCTTCTAACAGTTGACCATAGAATATTTAGTAGCAAGGAAATTTCACGGATGGACTTATTGCACAGGTGGCAACCTATCACAGTACCATGCTTGAATTCACTGAGTTCTTCTTCCACAAATGTTTGTAGAAGCGGTCTGCATGCCTAGGTGCTTGATTTTATATACCTGTCACAATGGAGATGATTGGAACACCTGAATCCAATGATTTGGAGGGGTATCCCAATACTTTTGGCAATATAGTATATATATATATATATTTTTTTTAACAACAGATTTACTAAAAATGGAGAACACAGAATATGGTGCAACTGTGCATAGTAACCAATCAGCTTCTAGGTTTTATTGTCAAATCCTAATTTAATAAACTGACATTAGAAGCTGATTGGTTACTATGCACAGCTGCGCCAGATTCTGAGTGCACTAGTTTTAGTATATTTCCCTCTATATGTGCAGAATGCATATTTTTCTTAGCACTTTTTGGAGAGTTTCTCATAGCAAAATCCTTAAATATATAGTAACAAAGAGTTGGGCTTCCATTCAGCTAAACTTATCGAAGTACTTTAACACTCATTACAACAACCATTACTGGCTCTGTCAGCCTGCCTGCATGAAGGGATAGTCGAGAAGGAGAGAGGGTGACGCCTGCCGTTCCTGTCCGTGGCGAGCGGGGTGTCCTGGAGCCCGGTCCTCTCCTGACGTGCTGGTGGTGTGGTAGAGCGGGCTGGAGCTGAAGGGGCAGGAGGAGGTGTTAAGCCCTGGACAGCTGGAGCCCGTAAGATGCTGGGCGGCCACATGACCAGCTGCAAAGGAGCACTGGGAGTGGGAGCTGCCGACCAGTCTAAAGGAGACCCGCAGCTCTGAACTATCCTCTCTCCCTCACCCCATAGACTGAATACTATAGGGGACTGCTGTGATTGCTGACGTTTTGCTTTCTCACAGAGGACATTATCTTGGACTTCTGTGACAGACTGTGATAAATGTGATAAATATGATAATTTTAAAAAAATTAAGGCTGAAATAAACTTGAAGAGAAGAAGGAAAGATAATAACGACAATACAAGTTGGAAGAGTTGATGATTGAATCCTTTTGATATTGAAAATATATCAAAATGAAGAACAAAAGACTAAAGGCAGGTGGGTCAAAGGCCCCGCCATCTAGTTCAATCAAGAAATATATACCCGCACAGGACAAACAGACCCCTGAAAGGTAAACTGGATTAAAGGAAAAGAGTATGATAGAGAACAACAGTGATGAGAGCTCCAGATTATCTTTGGGAATGTCTATTACAAGTCAAAATCTAGAAGAAGTACTGAGAAAACTTGTGGGGTGGAGAATATAGAAGATCAAGATTCACACCTGCCAACTAAATTAGAAATAGCAGAAATTTTTAAAGGTTTGGAAAGATCTATAAAACAAGAGTTGGGGAAGTTACATAAAGACTTGGGGCAGGTGCTATCTAGAGTGGAGGAGATGGAAGGAAAAACAAATAAGCACGCCAAAGTGATACATAATTTAGAAAAACAAATGGTGGAATTGAAAAAAGAACAAAGAAATCTGCTATACAAATAAGAGCAGGAAAATAGAAACAGAAAAAGAAACTTAGGGATACAAGGTCTCCCTGAGATTCCCCATGGAGAAGACTTGAAGGAAACAATAGAGAAGATGTTTGATATAATAATGGACAGATCTGCAGCAGAACCCTATAAAATTGATGGGGTGTATAGGGTAGGAAGATTATATCAAGAGGGTAGGAATAGAAAATCGAGAGATGTTATTGCTCAATTCCATCATTATAGTGATAAAGATGAGATTTGGAAGAGGATGAAGGGAAGAGTGGTTATAAAATATGGAGAAACAAATATACAGATCTTTGCTGATCTGGCTGCAGAGACACTGTCGAGAAAGAAAATCTTGAAACCATTAGTAAAACGAATGAAGAAGGGAGCTCTGCAAGATTAAAGTTTCCTGAAGAATTAAGAGACTTTTGGGAGAGACTTGAGTTGCAGAATATAGATGTTCCCGGGTGGGGAGTGGGGGAGGTGGAGAGGAGGAATATGGATAATGAAAGGTGGCAGGCAGTCTAAGAGGAAGGTGGAGAGAGGAGGAAGGTGAGATGGGGGGAAGGGGGGTGCAGTGGAGGTGAGGGGGTGAGTTTATTGGTGGGAGATTTGTTTTTTTTTCCCCTCCCCCCCTGATTTTCTCCCCGTTTCCTCTACTTTGGTCCCCTCCCCCTCTCTTCCTTTTCTTCTTTCTTTCTCCTCCTTTTTTTTTCTTGCAGGCTGGTCTGGTCTGAGACAGACAAAGCTTTATTTTGGTGGTATTTATTCACTGCTGGGATTTTTATTTTTTTTGCTATGGATGCTATGAAAATGCCTAAAATGTCCAAAAATTTTGAAAAAAAAAGTGTTTTTCTTATAAAAATTTGCAAATAAATAATCTTTCTTCATAAATCTTGGCCAAAATGTATTCCATTATCTTTTTAGTAAAAAAAAATAAGCCAAATTAGTTTATAACCAAAAATTATAATTTTTAAAAATTTTTTTTACATTTTTATTTTATTTTTTTTATATTATTATTATTATTATTTTTTTTACATACTGTCACCCTAGCAGTACAGTGACACATTGTTACACTGTACTACTTGTGGGGGGTGATGAAGATTTTTTTTTTACAGTGATTGCTTTTACACCCATATAGGATGTAAAAGCAATCATTTCTCTTTCTTTCTCTCTGTCTGCATTCTTGCAGCCATTGAGAACTACTGAGTGAGCTGTGATTGGTCACAGCTTGTCACATGGTACAAGGCTGTTGTGAATAGCCTTGTACCATGTGATCTCTGTGATCATTCACAGATTTCACACGTAGTAAGCAATGATGTCACAAGTGACATCTTGCTTACTACTTTGCATGTGATCACTGTTTGGCCAATCAGTGATCACATGATCGGGACACAGAGGCCCTGTCCGATGATCGGATTTCACTGTGTTCGGAGGACACAGCGGGCATCGGATCGTGGTGCTGCACGCTCCCAGGGAGCACGCACAGCTAGAAATGGCGGGTGCCGTTTATGAACGGCAACCCGCCCCTGGAGTGCCACCGTTCTACCATTTATAAACAGCAGGCGGATGGCAAGTGGTTAATCTGGAGAAATTCTGGAGAACGAAGGAATAGGTATAGGGAGGAGAGGCAGAGAAATTAGAGGGGAGAAGAGGGATGAGAGGTGAGAAAAAGAGAAGAATGGAAGAGACTCACTTTTGTGAATTATAATGTTAAAGGTTTAAATAGCCCAGGGAAGAGATTTAAGATATTTAAAGAACTTCAACATAGACTCTCTTCAGCGGTATTTTTACAAGAGACACACTTAGTACAAGAAACAAATGTGAAGCTGCAATTCAGACATTATCCAGAGTGGTATTATGCAAATTCCCCAATTAAACGTGCAAAGGGAGTGGCAATAGGATTTGCGAAAAATATAAGGTTTAAGTTGGAGGAGAGATTGGTAGATCCGGAAGGAAGATTTCTGTTCTTGAAAGGAAAACTACAGGAAATAGAATGTACATTAGCAAACATTTATTGCCCGAATAAGAGCCCTGAGGTATTTTTAAAAAATATGCTGAGGAAATAATGGATTTCAAAAAAGGTAATTTGAGTGTGGCTGGAGATTTCAACTTTTCACAAATGGATGTGGCCTCTCCGGTGCTGGGAGATAGTAGTAGATCTCTGAAAAACTGGAAAAAAATGTTATTTCAATGTCAACTTGTAGATATTTGGAGAACTAAGCATATGAAGGAAAGAAACTACACATTTTACTCTCATGCACATTAGATGTATTCAAGACTGGATTACATACTGTTGGACCATAGGCTTATTGAGTCTCTGGTCAAAGTAAATATAGAAGTTATTTCGACTTCTGACCATGCTCCTGTCACAATGCAATTGCTATGGGGTAATGAACAGAGGGGAGGAAAATTATGGTGGCTGAATGAGTCACTTCTTAAGGATCAAGAGACAGATTGGAAAGTTAAGAAGGAAATAGGGCAATTCTTTGAAGAAAATGACTCTGAGGAGGTATCGGTGGCTACGGTGTGGGAAGCACACAAGGTCTATATTAGAGGAATTTTAATAGCGAAAGGAGAAAAAAATAAGAGGGAAAGAAGTGAAAAAGTAAACACAATTTTGAGGGACTCTGTGATTTATAGCTGACACATAAAAATAGAGTAAAAGAGATCAAGCAATAGTATTAAATAATATCCTGGAAGAAGAGAAGAGGAGAGTGTTTAATAAAATGATAAGTGAGAGGTATAGATGGGTTGATAGACCAGTGAGGGCTCAGAGGAAAAATAAATCTAGGAATTATATTGAGAAAATAAGAGATAATAAAGGAGAATTGTTTCATTCAACCAAAGATATAGTAAAAGTGCTTAAAGAATATTAAAATAAGTTATATAATATTAAGCCTCATGGTACCATAGGAGAAGATGAAGTAAGAAATAAAGAGATAAGACAGGCATATTTAAAAAAAGCGGGATTACCGAAATTAAGCAAAGAACAATTAGAATCCCTAGAAACTGCAATAACTCAGGAAGAAATACATCTTGCATTAAAAAGCACAGTAGCTGGGAAAAGTCCAGGACCCGATGGGTATACAGTGAGATATTATAAAAAATACGAAGAAATTTTACTACCTAAATTGAGAATATATATGAATGCTTTGGGAGGAGAGATGAGAGATGAGGAGGGAATCCCTGCAAGTTCATGTGGTTCTCATAAAAAGGAAGGCAAGGATAATACTCACTGTTCAAGTTATAGACCAATTTCCTTATTAAATATAGATACTAAACTATATGCAAAAGTACTGGCAAGTAGATTTAAGGACCTAATGCCGACATGGATACATATAGATCAAGTGTGGTTTGTCCCAGGGAGAGAGGGTAAAGACAATGATTTAAGATCTCTGTTCCTTATACAAAAAAGTAGGAAAGAGAATTCCGGAGTTGGTACTTTCAATTGACGCTGAAAAAGCATTTGACAGAGTAAATTGGGGATATATGTTAGATACCTTAGAAGTAATAGACATGGGACCTAGAATGGGAGAATGGATTAGGA